AAACGACAGGGATAGATAGACCACACAACGATCCACTGGTGATCAAATTGACGACCAGAGACCACGATGTAGCGAGAGTACTCATCGATACCGGGAGCTCAGTAGATGTCATTTTCAGGGAGACACTCAGAAGGATGGGAATCGATCTCTCCGAGGTAACGGCGATCCCCAAACCTCTGACCAGATTTTCAGGAGAAACAACAATGACCATGGGCACAATTAGGCTCCCTGTGGTAGCCGGCGGAGTCACTAGGATCGTCGAATTCTGCATCACCAATCACCCAATAATCTACAATGTGATTATGGGAACTCCATGGATCAATGTGATGAGGGCGGTCCCTTCCACCTATCACCTCTGCCTTAAATTCCCAACTCCAGCAGGCATCAAAACGATTTAGGGAAACCAGAAGGAATTGCAAATGTGTTTCTTGGCAGAGCACAAGTTGAGGAACCCCGTCACCAATGCACGAGCAGATGTAGATCGCAAAAAGCTGAAGACGGACCGAGAGCCTGCGAACGAGCTCTCAAAACTCTTATAGCAATTACAGATCACGGAGAGCCGCGAAACGCGCACCGAGCCGGTATGTGATGCGGTGGACTCGGTGTGCATAGACGAAGCGTGTCCAGAACGACGCGTCAAAATCGGAACTAAGCTTGAAGAACCTCTGAGAAGCGAACTTCTTTCCCTCCTCAAGGAGAATATCAACACTTTTGCCTGGACAGCGGAGGATATGCCAGGCATAAGCATCGACGTGACCTGTCACGAGCTGAACGTGGACCAACCTTCAAACCAATCAAGCAAAAAATGAGGAAGCTCGGACCCAAACGAGCTAAAGCAGTTAACGACAAAGTGGAAAGATTGTTCAAAGTAGGATCAATTGTCGAGGCAAAATACCTAGACTGGCTTGCGAATCCAGTGGTTGTGAAGAAGATGAACGGCAAGTGGCGAGTCTGTGTAGACTTCACTGATCTCAGCAAGGCGTGCCCAAAAGACTGTTTCCCTCTACCGCACATCGACCAGCTCGTCGAAGCCACCGCGGGAAATAGGTTGTTAACGTTTATGGACGCGTTTTCTGGTTACAACCAAATCCTGATGCATCCCGATGACCGGGAAAAAACAGAGTTCATAACCGATCACGGGATATACTGTTACAAAGTCATGCCGTTCGGACTCAAGAACGCAAGGGAAACATATCAATGGCTCGTCAATAAAATATTCGCAGATCAGCTCGAAAAAACCATGGAGTTATACATCAACAATATGTTGGTCAAATCACTCGAGAAAAAAGATCATATCACGCACCTACGAGTATGCTTCGAGCAGTTTAACAAACACAACATGAAACTGAACCCGGCGATGTGCAGATTCGCGGTAACCTGGGGAGAGTTCCTCGGCTACTTCGTGACTCACCGAGGCATTGAAGCGAATCCCAAGCACATCAAGGCATTAATCGAGATGCCCTCTCCAAGAACGAAGCGAGAAGTTCAAAGGCTCACAGGAAGAGTCGCTGCGCTAAACAGATTCATTTCCCGTTCTACCGACAAGTGCCTGCCTTTCTACGACACCCTTCGAAAAACTAAGAAGTTTGAGTAGGACGAGCGATGCGAAGCAGCTTTCCAGGGGCCCGCCGGTCCTGGCGAAACCAGTTGAAGGAGAGTCCCTCTTCCTCTACATCGCCGTATCTGCTACGGCCGTGAGTGGGGTGCAACACGATGACTTCCCAAGAGCGATCCGGTGCATTAGTGCTGGTACGACCGTGAGTGGGGTGCTGATAAAAGAAGAGCGATCCGAGCAAAAACCCATCTTTTACGTCAGTCAGACACTGACCGATGCCGAGACCCGTTACCCCCAGATCGAGAAGGTCGCCCTAGCCGTTGTAGTATCGGCTCGTAAGCTGCGTCCATACTTTCAATCACATTCGATTGTTGTGCTCGCTACCCTTCCGCTGCGCTCGATCCTTCACAGCTCGGGCCAATCTGTGCGACTCGCCAAATGGGCCATAGAGTTGAGCGAGTACGACATCGAGTATCGGAACATGTCATCTGCAAAATCACAGGTGCTCGCAGATTTTCTCATCGAACTTCCGATCGAGGCGACGACCGAGCCAACTCTAGACGAAGTATGGATACTGCACGGCGACGGCTCGTCGTCAAAACACGGCTTGTGAATAGGAATCCGTCTCACCTCTCCCACCGGGGAAATATTGGAGCAGTTTTTTCGCCTGAACTTCCACGCCTCAAACAACGAAGCAGAATACGAAGTACTGATCGCTGGCATACGACTAGCGCAGGGAGTAGGAGTTGAAAGATAAGAGCCTTTTACGATTCACAGCTCGTAACATATCAATTCAACGGAGAGTACGAGACGAAGGATGGACGAATGGGAGCTTACCTTAGAGTGGTCCGAGATTTGGTGCAAACGTTCGACGAGTTCGAGCTCACACGAATACCCCGAGGTGTTTCACCTCGGCAGACGCCTTAGCAGCACTTGCCTCAATTTCAGACCCGGATCTTCGACGAACAATTCCAGTGGAATTCATCGAACGTCCAAGCATCGAAGAGGTAGAAGGAGTTTGGCTGATAAATCCTCCCGAGGAGGAACCAGAGAGCGGCGAAGCAATCGCTCTGGACGAAGACGCCTCACTAGCCGAGGTGGAGTACGGCTGCGACAAAGAATGGCTCGGAGCCATCCGAGTATACATCGCCGATGGAGAAGTACCATCCGACAAGTGGGAAACCCACAAATTAAGAGCTCAGGCCGCACGATATGACCACTCATGACATGTGTCGAGGGACCGGAGGCAAGAAAGATAATGCACGAGGTGCACAGCGGCGCGTGCAGGAAATCATTCTAGCGGAAGGTCACTTGCGATCAAGATAAAACGGCACAATTACTTCTGGCCTACGATGGTCAAGGACTGTGAGAAGTTTACGGTGAAGTGCGAGAAGTGTCAACGGCACGCGCCTACAATCCACCAACCTACCGAGGTGCTGTCGTCGATTTCGTCACCTTATCCCTTCATGAGATGGTCGATGGATATAGTCGGGCCTCTACATCGATCGAAGCAGAAGCGCTTTCGGCTCGTCCTCACGGATTATTTTTCTAAATGGGTCGAGGCCGAACACTTCGTCTGGAAAAATATCATCTGCCGAGACGGGGTCCCCTACAAAATAGTCACTGATAACGGATCCCAGTTCATCTCAACTCGCTTCAAAGCTTTCTGCGAGAAATGGAAAATTCGTCTGAGCAAATCTACGCCAAAATATCCGTAAGGGAATGGCCAAGCCGAAGCAGCCAACAAGACGATCCTAGACGGTCTGAAAAAGAGGCTCGACGCCCAGAAAGGACAATGGGCAGACAAGCTCGAAGGAGTCCTTTGGTCGCATCGAGCGCTGAGCCACTGGAAAAAACTCAATTCGCTATTGTCTATGGAACGAAGTGCATAATTCCCCCCGAGGTGGATTTCCCAGGTATTCGACGAAGACTTATGCCAGGATAGGAGGGCTTGAATCACTTACTGATGCTGGACGAACTCAATTTGGTCAACGAAAGGCGCGACCAGGCTTTAATCCGAATCTAGAACTACCAACAAGCAACGGCGAGATACTACAACAAAAATGTCCGAAGTCGAAGATTTAAAGAAGGAGAGCTCGTTCTTCAAAAAGTGTTCCAAAACACTGCCGAGATGAATGCAAGAAAACTCGGAGCGAATTGGGAAGGTCCTTACAGATTACAAAAGTAGTTCGCCAAGGAGTCTATGAACTTGCGATGGTAGCTGACGAAGAAATTCCAAGATCGTGGAATGCAATGCATCTAAAGAAGTATTATCACTAAGGCTACAACACGATCAACATGAACTACGGGACGGCTTGATCCCTGCAAAGAGTACGTAGGCAGCCCGTCCTCAGACGGGTTCAGCTGTCCCCCCTCCAAAAATGCGGGGGAGTGGGTACGTATACACATACCTTCATTAACTTTTAAATTTTAGCTCGTCGAGTCTACTATCTCTAGGATCATTGTCACTTCGGCTAGTTTTTCATTCCTTTTAAATCAGCTAGTTGTTTCATGTTCACCTCGGATTTTTAATTCGTTCATTGTCACTTCGGCTAGTTTTCATTCATCACTTATGTACACTTCTCCTAGACTTTTACTTGTCCTTGCATTCACTTAGGCAAACTATCTATAGTTCCAGACACCTCGCCTTGTTGCTGGCCACAACGAGGCAACATTGACAAAGTTCTCTAAATGAACTTTTTACCACCTTTCCTAGGACAAGGATGCAAGTCACATCCTCTATGGATTAAAATCAGGCGCCCTATACAAATTTCGGACCAAAATCGTATCGGTCGCCACGGTTCTTCATCGCACACGAGATTGTAAGTCGAGACTACATCGCTTTCTCTAAAACCGAAACGAACTCTTAAAACCTGGCAACACATTCACCCTCTCGGGAACACCGGTCTACGACAAGACTCTAAATATCGTCTACTTAGACATGAACCTCGACAACGAGAAATTCGAACTTAACGCCTCAGAAGGATAAAATTAGATCCGAGTTAAATTACCTCGTTAATATGTTTGCTACAATCTAACTTCACACCTCGGGACAAACATCCAAAAACATAAAGGAATGTCATGTCCCCTCCCAAAATTTGTCTAAACAAGAACACGTCTCCCAGCTCAGGACCTTTCAACTTAAACAAAGTCTATTCAATATAAGATAGCCTGTCCCGACCAAACTATTCTAACGGCTCAGGAAGAAAGACACTCTTGGTCCAACAAATTTGGTCACAAAACGATAAACATAACTCCTCAATATCGCTAAGACAGAACAAAGAAGATAGATATAATTATAGCAAAATCATGCCATCAGTCTGAAAATCAATCCAAGCGCCAATCGCAAAAATACATACGAGTCTGAAAAACGGATAAAGCCATCCAGGCACTTAGCACAAAAAGGAGAACGTAAAAGAAAAACTAGGGAGAAAACAGGAGAGAGTCAAGCTGCGGACTGCGTTTCCCGCTCGGCGAGGAGGTTCGAAAGGGCCGGCGTACCCACATTTGATCTGGTCGGATCTACAACACCCAGGTTAGGCGCTGTCTCTTCGATCGGCTTGTTACCCAGACCGGTGTCTACGGAGTCTGGTGACACGGGCGAGAAGACTAGCTCACCTCGGATCTCGGAAGCGATGCGCTCATACACCTCGTCGTCGACGTATTCGCTCTCCCAACCTTTTACCTTTGCCTCTTCGTCGTCGAGTGTCAGGCCGTCCGGTTTCCTCAGGTCGTTGATCTGCCCCAGTTCGTTCTCGTCAGTTTTGGCCTTCTCGAGCTTGGCTAGACCCTCCTCCACCTTGGCAAGGCGTTCCTGAAACTTAGCCGTCAACTCTCGCCTCGCTTCTTTCTTCGCACGCTTGACCTTAGTGTCAAACGAGGCATCCTTGGCCTCGATTTGTCTCTTAAGTAACGCCACCTCGGCGGATACCTTGTCGACGTCAGCACGAAGAGCTATCTTCTCCTCTTCCAGCTTCTTTGCCCTGGTAATCGCCTCTTCTAGTTTTCCCTTTGTTGTCGCGGCCTCGTTCCGAGCTTCTTCCAAACGACGTTCAACCTTAGACAGGTCCGCCTCGTATTCGACCATCTGCTCGTTAATAGCCGCTACAAACTGCAAAGAATAATACGTGTGAAACACTTAGCCAGAATTCGACACGAAAAAAGTAAGGAAAGGTAAACAGAAGAGACCTTGGTGCCATGCTGCGCCATCGCGCCATAAGACCTCGGTCTCCTCAGCTGCTCAGGAAGGCGCGTGTTGGCGTTGTTAACACGCGCAAACATTATTGCCGAGGCGTCTGGGTCGTCGACGACCAGTTTGCGTGAAGCAGGATCACCAGATACAGGCTTGCGTTTCTTCTTGGCCGGCTCATTCTTTTGGATAGCCACGCCTTTCCCTTTATCAGTGGCCGAACGTTTTCTACCAGAATCGTGCTTCTGTAGATGCGAAGCCGAGGGGCTCGACGACTTCGGGAGAGCCAAAATAGCCGAGTTAGAAGGAGTTTTACTCGGAGCCGCGGAGTCGTCTTTGGGCGCCTTGGGAATGATTTCGCCAGGTTCCACCTCGGGTGCCACCTCCTTCTCGATTGCCTCCACACCTTCCCCTTCACGGCATGGCGGATCTCTTGAGGGATAGCCTCGGCCTTCGTTCGAGCCACCTCGGCGGCTCGTTTTGCAGCCTCTTCTTCTTCATGCCTCTTTCTGTCTCTAAGAGTGATGATCACAATTTTTTCCCTTGTATCTCCTGAAGAATTTGAAGACGAAGAGCTAACAGGTACTCTGGCGAAAATGGCTCGTGCTCTTTCCACTCTCTCAAACGTAAAGTGCTTCCTCCAATTGACTCTCCGAGCCGCTAGAGAATCTCGAACAACGAAGAGGTCGTCAGGAACTGGGGGAAGAATGCTCCGAACTGCAAAAACAACACAAAATAAACAAATTTAGTGAGGAAAAATTATACCATAACAGATCCGAGCCGAGGCAAAGCTTTGGATCGGCTAGCAAGTGGTCCCCAAGCGGTCTTGGTTTTTCGGACGAAATCTTCGCCAACCGACGCCTCGTTCACCAAGACATAGAAGAAGCGCTCGATCCAAAATTGATCTTTGCTTGGAAAACCGCCTATGATCCGGCGATTGGGTTTGTTGGAGATATAAAATATGCCCCCCTTCAGAGCCTTTCTGATCTCCAACAAGTTTAGCAGATGATCCAGCTCAATGTCGAGCCCGCATTCAAAGCATCGAACCAGGATGCCGATCATGTGCCGCAAACCCCTCGGCATAATCTGCCCAATCGAGATCTCATGTTTCCAGAGGTACTCGAGGATAACTCCGGGATCGGGAACCAGAGAAAATAGAGCTCGAAGAACGCCTCGTACAGAGTAAAGTGATTCTCATGGGGTTTGTCAGCTTGGTCGTTCTTCTCTGGAAGGACGAATTCCACCGCCTCGGATATCCTGAAACGGCATCTCAATGCCTCAAGTGAGCCGGAGGAGGAGAGTGTGGAACCAAGGCGGGTCAGGTTTTTGTCTTTTCACTCGCTTTTGTTTCCCTTGCCCAGACGAAGAAGCACCTCGGGATGCCATGAGACGTTCTAATTCAAGCTTCGCCTCGACCGGATCAAAGGGAAACGCTTCCTCCTCAGCTTTTACTGCGGCATAATCAACGTCTTTGTTATAGGCAGGACCCCGGGGGCAGCTCGTCGAAACCAACGGCTCGTTATTTCGAGAGGGAGCACCTGATGGATTTGAGCGATTCGATGCTTTGTCAGCTTCAGATGAACGATTGGAAGGGCTCGGCGAGATAGATGCCTCGGAGGATCCTGTTACGCCTCTCACCTCAGCATCTACACGGCTCGGCTCGTAGTTAAAAAGCGGATCCAATGAATCGACGGAGTGGTTTGACATGATTTACAGTTTGTACAGGAATTACAGTACTACGTGGCGAGTTTTCGTCGGAAAAAGATTTGGAGCGGCGGAGGCCTCGGAACCCTAGCCAGAAAATAAATAAACTAGAGAGAGAAAGAAGAGAGAAGGGAGAGCTACCTTTAGTGAAATCGAAGATCTGAAATTATGAGTAAAGAAGAAGGGGATCCACCTTCTTATAGGACAAGCCGAGGCGCGTGAGTTCCGCGTGAACCTCGGGAAGCCATCAAAACAACAGCGCGTGGAATCCGCGGCGTATTAACAAACTCTGGCCGCGTCGATTACACGCTCCAATAATTCGAGAATCTTCTTTCGGAAGACCAACGATCGGGATGTCCGAGTCTTCAGCTGATGTCTTGGCACAGTTGCTACAAAAACGCCTCGAAACACGGCTCGGCACATCTTTCACAAAAACGCCTCGTCGTTTATTCGGCTTGGCATGGTTGTCACAAAACGCCTTGTCGTTTATTTGGCTCGGCCTAACATTCACAAAACGCCTCGTCGTTTATTCGGCTTGGCATAGTTGTCACAAAACGCCTCATCGTTTATTCGGCTCGGCATGGTTGTCACAAAACGCCTCGTCGTTTATTCGGCTCGGCATGGCTGTCACAAAACGCCTCGTCGTTTATTCGGTTCGGCCTAAGTTTCACAAAAATGCCTCGTCATCTTGAAATATACCGGGCAAACCGGTTCGTCTATGTCCTTTGTCGAAATCGCCTTGCCTTCAACAAAATGGCTTGATACGATGACCTATCTTGGAATATCTCGACATACCGCACAGGCTGTACCCTGCGTCATAGCCTCGTCGTTACCATTAGCACGGCTTGGCACCGCATTACAATAAGGCCCTCGTCATTATCGTTAACCCGGCTCGATATCGTTCTAAAGTGCCTCGTCGTTGTTACTCCGTAACGGCTCCATTTCTCAATTGCCTCGCCGAGTAAACGGCTCGGAATTTCACTGGAATCCCGACAGTTTGATATCATTCTATCTTGGAGAAGCTCTGCAAAACCTTGTCATGACGGCTTGGTGGACATGGTCAATCCAGCCTTCAGAGTTTTGTACCTCATTGCTCTCGTCTCCGAAACCGACAAGCTGGGGGGCTAACTATTGGGGTCGGTTTCCACTGATATGTCTATATTTTACATCATTTAGATTGCATTATAGAGTCCTCATCATGTGTTTTCTCATGTAAATTGAGTCTTTAGGCGTTAAAATAGGATTTAGGGCTTGCATTAGGTCCCAAAGAGTTTTGCATGTTTTGAAGTCTTTATCAGGAGCTTTGGAGACCAATTGGAGCCTACGAAGAGGAACAGAAAAGAAAACGGTGAAGAAAAGGGTCAAAAATGGTGAAAACCGCTTGGAGGAATTTCTCGACCAAATCTCGTACCGGCTGGTCGGAAACCTCGGCCAAAATGTTTACCGGACGCTCATTACCGGCCAAAAACCTTACCGATCGGCCAGAATCGAGTATCGAGTGCAAAAATACCACGGGACAAGTTTTTGACCAAGGCAAGAATTTTTACGACCAAAAAGCTTACCGCGGTACACAGCCCTCGGCCATTTTTCTTACCGCGGGAAGGTTTTTACGACCAAAAGTTGTCCTTGCCCGCGCAATTCAGAGATCAGCGATCGGGGGAACCTTCCGGTCCGAATCAGTTGGCGGGGTCTTCACCAAAGTTGGATATAATCAAGCAAAGATTCCAGAACAGTTGGAATCATCCAATTCGGACCAGTGGAGAGAAAGATATGGCTTCCGGAGCATTCACCAGCATTGCGCGTACCCGAGAACTGAACGGCGAACTTCAAAATCATGGCGGACGGAGCCCCTCCAGACCGAACCAGCTTACCCGGTCTTCACCAAAGTTCGAGATCCATGGAAGATCTTCTCATAGCATTTGGAAGACAGGGTCTCCGGAGTTCACATCGGTCTAAAAGTCTATTTTCCGGTGATTTCAGTGCGGCGCAAAGATGTTAAATCCAGGAAGCCTTCCACTCCCCAAGCTCCGATGGTTTCTTCACCAAAGTTCGAGCTTATTGAGTCATCTTGACTGTGGAACTGGTCCCAGAGCAATTGGAGTCGTGTGCTGAAAGTTACTGCTTCCGGAAGGTGACATGGTCGATACAAGCCTAAAAGAGTTGCGATATGCGCTAAGTATTTTCACAAGCCTCAGTATCTTTACCTTGGCGTCACTCAAGTCGAGGCTCATATCTTGGAAATATTCTGGACTAGACCTCGTTCCAAAGCCTTGGCATGGTTAGATCGAGGCATGCATACGTAAGAACTGAAGCTGGAAACGACTAAGTGTTGAAAGTACACCTCGGTGTAATGACCTCGGCGTGCATGCCGGACTGTGTTCTCCCAAGCACCTCGACATCATGACCCCTTGACATTTTATCCTGAGGTCCCTTGTCACGAAACCAGAATCAAGAACAGAATGGCTCAAGAACATACACGTGAGGATAGATCAAAGACTAGGGTTCATGCATGTTCTTGACGTGTTCTTCACGAGATCTTCATGTGGATCCTGACTCACGTGCACGCCTCGGCATGAAAACCTCGGCTTCACTTTCCGACACACCGTGGCACTCACCCATCAACCCAAGAAGGTGGTTCAGTACCCGGTTTGTTCCGGGCTGACCCGCGACACTTTCCCTTTGCTATAAATACATTTTGAGACTAAAAACCTAGTTATCTTATCTCTTATCTGTTTTTAGCTCTAAGAACTTGCCTCTTTTGTGAAACCTGATTAATCTAATCCGATATCTCGTTTTTGCATGAGAATCTTGTTCTTTCTTTATTTTCTTTCGTCATCCAACATCAAACTCCTTATCATGACTAGCTACACGTCTTGCAAAGGACTTAGTGAGCTCGTTATGATCAGTGAGTAGTCGTTTAAGCGGCTTTAGATAGGTAGATTAGGGTGCTTTCAAGGTAGATTAATGGGTTTAGGTGTCTAGTCTTGCATGTTTCATTCCTTAACCGACGAGATCTCTAGGCTGGATCCAAGCACATCACTTGAGGTTCAGATCTGAGACATATCTTGCATCAAAAGTGTTTGTAGAAATGTCTGAACCACTCGGTTAAGGGTTTAAGAGTCTTTCATCGCGAGAGTGATAGTTTGTTCTCTTAAATGATGTTTTTGAACTGATTCTTATTGCTGACTGATTCGTGCTTCTCAAAAGGGATTTTGGTATGAAAGAGGATCAGTTTAGATGTTTAATGCTTTCATGAGAAGATTAACATGCCTTGAGTTCCAAGTTAAATGAAATCGCTTGATAAAAATGGTTCATTAACCCATTAGTTTAGCTTGGAAGCACCCGAGTCAAATATCCTGTCTAAAGCTTCTGCCTTTATCATTCATTATCATTATCTGAATCACCTGTTTGTTATTTGCATCTTGATTAGTTTAAATCTCTGCTTTTATTTAACTTTATTGCTTATTTGCCTGTTCATCATCGTCACCAAACTTTTATCATCTTGTCTTGACTTAAGTGAACAAATGACATAGGCTAGTGTCTCGTTTACAAGCTTGGTTTGACACCCTTTATACTACTTTGACAAGGGGATTGATAACCCTTCTAAGAGCCTGAAAACTCTTAGTTATCAATTGCCGCTGTTGCCAACTTGTAGGAGCACTAGTCTCTTATTTGTTCTTGAGTTCAAGCTTTTCTTTCCTTTGTTTTACTAACTTCTTTCCAAGTTCTTGTTTTGTTTTCAGGTGCATGAATACCAGGTCTCGGAGCACAGGATCGCTTTTCCCATACGACGATAACATCGACAGATTAGAATGGCGAGCTCGCGAGAGAGAACGGCACTTTGACAGACTTGGAATGGCAGAACAACAGAGAATGGAGCAACAGGCTCAGGCAGCCGAGCACCAGGCTCAGGCTAATCAGGCGCAGGCAGGAAGAAATGAACAACAAGCCTATGTTAATCAGCAACAGGCTCAAAGAAACGAACGGCTTGCTCAGCAAAACCAACACCAAGCGAATAGAAATGAACAACAAGCCCATCATGTTCATCCGCCACCGCCCCAAGTTCAAAGACAACATCCTCCAATCTGTGTTGGAGAGAATGACCGAGCTAATGCGCACCAATACCGAGCTGGGATTCAAGCTCCACCAGTTCAAAACAACAACTTTGAAGTTAAAGCTTCCCTGCTCAATATGGTGCAAAACTCAAAGTTCCACGGTCTGGCTGGAGAAGACCCTCTCGAGCATCTAGATCAATTTGATCGGGTTTGCGACTTAACCAAGATAAATGGCGTCTCCGAAGATAGCTTCAAGCTACGCTTGTTCCCTTTCAGCCTCGGTGATAAAGCACACCAGTGGGAAAAGAATATACCGAGGGGTTCTATACAAACCTGGGAGCAGTGTAAACTGGCGTTCTTATCAAAGTTCTTTTCCACATCACGCACGGCTAAGCTCAGGAATCAGATCTCAAGTTTCACGCAGCACAATAACGAGAGCTTTAGTGAAGCTGGGGAACGGTTTAGAAGCTACACTAACCAATGCCCACACCACGGCTTCTCAGAGGCATCCCTCTTGAGTACTATACCGAGGTGCACTCCCCAAGATCAGAAACCAACTCGATACAGCTTCAAATGGGAATTTTCTTGGAAAAGAGATCACTGCGGCAATGGAACTAGTTGAGAACCTAGCCATGTCCAATGACACGTATGGAGAGGACTTTGATAGAGCAAACCGTACAGAGGGATCTAGTGATGAACAGCGCATGAAAAAGGATATAAGAGAGCTTCAGAGTAAGCTTGACAAGGTTTTGATGGCGACTCAAAAGCCAATACACTTTTCAGGCGAGTTTGATGAGCAAGGGCCAAGTTTTGACAATGTTAATGAAGATGGTCTAACACAAGAGGAGCTGAATTACATAGGGAATCAGCAGAGGTATCAGCGGTTTAACAACTACAACAGTAACCCAAACCTCTCATACAGAAACCCGAATGTAGCTAACCCTCAAGACCAAGTGTACCCTGCTCAACAACAACAACAAAGCTATGCTCAAAAGGCTCCTTTTCAGAATACCTTCCAGCCCAAGCAACAGTTCAGTGGGCAACTGCACGGCTACACTCAGCAGAATCAAGCGGCTCAGAGTAACAACTTCAACAACCAACCGCAGCAACACAAGTTTCCACCAGGGTTCCATCCGCAGCCGATGGGTAATCAACAACAGATTCAGGGAACAGGTCAGAATCAAATGGGGAACGACGTCTGTGGGATACTACAGCAACTGTTACAGGGCCAGCAAAGGGTTGAGAGCCAGCACGCGACAATGCAGCAAGATATCAGAGAGCTTAAGCAGAATCAAGCTTCTACATCATCAAGAGGCCCGGATTTACCAGGTAAACCGGAGCCGAACCCTAAAGAGTATGTGAACGCCATCACATTGAGGAGTGGTAAGGAATTACAAACTGCAACGCCTAAGACAAAGCTCATTGAGGCCAATGAGCAATTAGAGGGGGAGGCAGCCTCAGACGATGCGTGTAAAGAAGCGGTCTTAGAGAAGGAACCGATCAAGGACAAAGGAAAAGAGGTGGAAAAGACAACCGAGCTTGAAAAGCCCTATGTTCCACCACCACCTTATCAACCCAAGATACCGTTCCCAGGGCGTTTCAAAAAGAAAATCCTAGACAAGGCCAAGGCGGTCTTTGAGAAACACTTGGAGAACACGCAACTCACCTTACCCATTATAGATGCTTTCTTAGCTATACCCCAGCTTGGGAAGTTTCTAAAGGACGCGATCCTCAACAAGACAAAGGAGCTCCAGGGTATGGTGATACTGAGCCATGAGTGCAGTGCCATAATACAAAGAAGATCTATACCAAGGAAGCTATCCGATCCGGGCAGCTTCACTTTGCCGTGTGCTTTAGTTCACCTGAAGTTCTCAAACTGTTTATGTGACCTTGGAGCTTATGTGCGCTTAATGCCTTACACGGTGGCCAAGAGATTGGGATACGAAAGCTACAATCCAGCCAAGATCTCTCTTGTATTAGCTGATAGATCGGTTAGATTACCGGTGGGGTTGCTTGAGGATCTACCTTTGAGGATCGGTGAGATAGAAATCGCCACGGACTTCATAGTTCTTGAGATGGACGAGGAACCATTAGACCCTATCATCTTGGGCCGACCGTTCTTAGCAACCGCAGGAGCCATAATAGATGTGAGAGGAGGAATGATTGAACTACACATCGGTTCCGAGACTATGAAGTTCAACGTGAAGGAAATGATGAAGAAACCGACCATTGGAGGTCAGGTTTTCTATGTGGAGGTAATGGAGGAGCTGGCTGATGAGCTCCTTGAAGAGTTGAACGCAGAGGATCCGTTACAAGTGGTCTTAACGCGGGAACAAAGCGAGCACGGGTACTTGAACGAGGAAAGCGAGGTGTACAAGCGTCTTTTGGACCAACCGAGGGAACTTGGAGCTGAGGCGAGGTTTTTGGAGCTCCACACGAGCAGCCTCGACATTCTAGAAAGCGAGGAGTCAAAGGGAAAAGAAGAGACACCTCGGGATATCATGGCCGTGACAACTCATACCGAGGCCGATGGTAAACCGCGCGAGAATGAAGCAAAGGCCGAGGAAGCTGTTCCGGGCCAATGCAGCTTTGATGCCGATTGGAATGAGGCAGACGCACCCCCTGTTGAGCTCAAGCCTCTACCAATAGGGCTCAGGTATGCATTCTTAGGTCTAAACTCTACTTTTCCTGTGATCATAAACGATAACTTGCTTGAGCATGAGGAACGTGCATTACTTAGTGAAATAAGGAAATTCAGGAGAGCCATAGGGTATTCCTTGGCTGACATTAGAGGAATCTCTCCTGATATATGCACCCACAGGATCCACCTGGAGGACCAAGCCATGTCCTCTATTGAGCACCAACGTCGACTTAACCCAAACCTCAAAGAGGTGGTTAAGAAGGAGATACTAAAGCTCCTTGAGGCAGGGATAATATATCCAATCTCTGACTCTCGGTGGGTATCTCCTGTACACGTTGTGCCCAAGAAAGGTGGGATCACGGTGGTGAAAAACGATAAGGATGAACTCATAGCCCAAAGAACTATAACCGGCCATCGCATGTGCATTGACTGTAGGAAATTGAATTCTGCATCAAGAAAAGATCATTTTCCTTTACCATTCATTGATCAAATGCTTGAACGGTTAGCTAATCATCCTTATTTTTGTTTTCTCGATGGATACTCGGGGTTCTTTCAAATACCTATAGACCCCCGAGATCAAGAGAAAACGACATTCACCTGCCCTTATGGCACTTATGCTTATAGAAGAATGCCATTCGGTTTGTGTAATGCACCGGCCACTTTTCAAAGATGTATGATGCACATTTTCTCTGATCTAATTGAAGAGAAAGTTGAGGTGTTTATGGATGACTTCTCCGTATACGGCTCCTCTTTCTCCGAATGTCTTGCTAATCTTTCTCAGGTTCTCAAGCGGTGTGAGGAGCATAGGCTTGTCTTGGGACACAAGGTATCAGAGAAAGGCATCGAGGTGGATAAGGCCAAGATCGAGGTGATGGTGAACTTACAAGCCCCGAATTCTGTGAAAGGAATAAGAAGCTTCCTTGGCCACGCTGGGTTCTATAGATGGTTCATCAAGGATTTCTCCAAGATAGCCAGGCCTTTGACCAGGTTATTGTGCAAAGAAGTGAATTTCAACTTTGATGAAGAATGTGAGGAAGCGTTCAAGAGAATCAAGGAGGCTTTGATCAGTGCACCGATTGTACAAGCCCCTGATTGGTCTTTACCATTTGAAGTGATGACCGATGCATCTGATTATGCTGTAGGAGCTGTCTTGGGACAGAAGAAAGATAAGAAGCTCCATGTGATCTACTATGCCAGCCGCACTTTGGACTCGGCTCAAGAAAAGTATGCCACCACCGAGAAGGAAATGCTTGCCATTGTGTTTGCATTTGACAAATTCAGGAGTTATCTAGTGGGATCAAAGGTCACGGTTTACACAGATCACGCGGCCTTGAGGTACCTGATGTCTAAGAAGGACGCTAAGCCGAGGATTTTGAGATGGGTCTTATTGCTCCAAGAATTTGACATGGAGATACTTGATAAGAAGGGCATTGAAAACGGAGCCGCAGATCACCTCTCAAGGCTGAGGATTGAAGAACAGGTCCCTATAGATGATGCTTTACCCGAGGAACATCTCATGTTAGTCCGGTCTTACTTAGAGGTGGAGGAAGCCAATACGATCAAGGAAAGAAGCCTTCCATGGTTCGCGGATCTTGTGAACTACTTGTCTTGTGGATTAGAGCCACCAGATCTTGATACTTATCAAAGGAAGAAGTTCTTTAGAGATGTGATGAGGTATCATTGGGATGAGACGTATCTTTACGTGCTTAACAAGGACCATCTCTATAGGCGATGCTTGGCCGAAGAAGAGATCCATCCAGTGCTACAAGAATGCCACGGCTCATCGTATGGTGGTCATTTAGGTGCGTTCAAGACAGTTGCCAAGGTTCTACAGAGCGGTTTCTGGTGGCCGACCATGTTCAAAGACGCCCAGGAAGTGGTCTCGAGGTGTGAAGCTTGTCAAAGGCACGGAAACATATCCAAAAGGAATGAAATGCCCCAAAACCCAATCTTTGAAGTAGAAGTCTTCGACTGTTGGGGCATTGACTTCATGGGTCCCTTTGTAAGCTCATATGGGAATTAATATATCCTTGTAGCAGTGGATTATGTGAGTAAATGGGTTGAAGCGGTTGCATCTCCGACCAACGATTCAAAAGTGGTGGTAAAACTCTTCAAGAGTATCATCTTCCCACGGTTTGGAGTACCAAGAGTAGTCATCAGTGATGGGGGAATCCATTTCATCAACAAGACTCTTGAGAGTCTTTTGAAGAAGCACGGAGTAAAGCACAAGGTGGCCACCCCTTATCATCCGCAAACCAGCGGCCAAGTGGAGGTTTCCAACCGTCAGATAAAGGCCATTTTGGAAAGGACCGTGAACTCATCCAGGAAGGATTGGAGCAAGAAACTTGACGATGCTCTGTGGGCTTACAGAACCGCCTACAAAACCCCCATTGGAACCTCACCGTTTAACTTGCTCTATGGGAAGAGCTGTCATCTACAGGTTGAGTTGGAATACAAAGCCTTGTGGGCAGTGAAACTTCTGAACTTTGACATCAAGACCGCACAAGAGAAGAGGGTTTTACAGCTTCATGAGCTTGAGGAGATCCAGTTAGATGCTTTCGAGAGCTCTAAGATCTACAAAGAAAGAAACAAGGCGCTCCATGACAAGAAGATACACAAGAGAGAGTTCAAAGAAGGGGACCAAGTTCTGTTGTTTAACTCAAGACTCAAGCTGTTCCCTGGGAAGCTGAGGTCTAGGTGGTCTGGTCCGTTCACGATTCTTGAAGTAAGACCCTATGGAGCCGTGGTTTTGAAAGGAAAAGATGGACAAGGCTTTGTGGTAAACGGCCAGAGGGTAAAGCATTACTTGGCGTCAGAAACAAGGGAGGGAGCTACCTCAGTTCCTCTACTTGAACCG